GTAATTGTTGGTTAATCTTGTTTGTGTCCGGATATTCCACAACTTACAATCGTCAACCTGAGAAGGGTTGTAGGTGTACTGGTGTAAGTACTGTGATTCTTCAAAAGAAATTCCATCAAGACATGAACTGCGAGTTTGTGTGTACTGTTTGTATATACGTGTGGTGTGTCATATCAATTGGTGGTGTTTTGGATTCATTGTGTTTACTGGTTGTTTTTGTACCTTGTTTTTATTGCATAATTTTGTTAAAATTTTCGTCGTGATTACTTCTGAAGTTGTTTCTTGTCTTCTACATCCGTGAATGAATTGATTGATGTTAGAGACAGCAGATGGGTCGTATACGCCGGGGAGGCTAGGCTATTGCTGAGAATGAAATGCATACGGAGATAATTATTAGCTGCGGTCCCACACACCGGGGAGTAAGAGTCATCGTTACTCGAATTGAGGCAGAATGAGTGACAAGCGATTTCAGTGGTAATTAGTAGTGAGTAGATAAGAGGATGTGCGTAGAGTATCGTGAGGTGGTGCTATGGTCACGTTGCATTCTGCAAGAGTCATTCTAGCAAGTGGCGATTGTGTTGCAAGAGGATGCCTTTAACTGGAATGCGCAGGTCGTCATTGATGTGTGAGATTGTGCTGTGGGTATGCTTGTGGTGTGTTGGCTTTTCTGTTTGTTTTCCATTTCAGCTCTGTCGGTGTATCCCAGGTTCCCGCAATGGCATCCAAGTCAACGTGTATTGGTCGTGATGAATAAAATGTTTGGTTGTAACAACAGAAGACAAGGGCCAGGCAACAGATCGTTTTAGTATGAAAATCAACACGTATTTATACATCTTTCAACTACATTATTATAGACAAGCGCAGTCATCTGATTGGTTGTTTAGGTAGACAAACGCAGGCTTCTGATTGGTTGTTTCGGGATTCCTTGACAAATAGAGTTCTCTCTGCGAATCATATTTTGCCACGTTAACTTTGCTGTGATTGGTTGTTGACTCAGGCTTGTTCATATTTTCTCACGGCCCACATTAGTGACCTAGACCTTAACGTAGATTAGTGCCAACCAATCGGATAGCAGCCTGCTCTCACCACACTCGTCCCCCGTCAAATACGTGCGACTGAAGTCGGCTTGATCTACTTGGTGCAGGCGTCATCGTTGGCTTGTCTCGCTGTATCCATTTCTGGAGCTCGCTGACGTTCACGTGCCTCTCATTGTTCGCCATTGCGACTGTGTCTGCGTAACCCCATCTCGAAGTGACCATATATGGTCCTTCCCACTTTGGAAACTGTTTGCCTGACCCTGTCGAACATTCGTCCATACTTCGGCCCACACCTTCATATGCTGCTTTCGCCCGACCTCCCAGCAGCGTCTCAAGTAGCAGCTCCATCGCTGACAGATCTTGAACGCCACTCAACTGCGCAGAAGCCTTGAAGTCCTGCCCGAAGATCCATATGTCTCCATCAAAAACTGCAGGGTATAGGCTTTTCATTTGTCGGTAGGCAGCGACACCAAATGTAACAACAGAAGACAAGGGCCAGGCAACAGATCGTTTTATTATGAAAATCAACACGTATTTATACATCTTTCAACTACATTATTATAGACAAGCGCAGTCATCTGATTGGTTGTTTAGGTAGACAAACGCAGGCTTCTGATTGGTTGTTTCGGGATTCCTTGACAAATAGAGTTCTCTCTGCGAATCATATTTTGCCACGTTAACTTTGCTGTGATTGGTTGTTGACTCAGGCTTGTTCATATTTTCTCACGGCCCACATTAGTGACCTAGACCTTAACGTAGATTAGTGCCAACCAATCGGATAGCAGCCTGCTCTCACCACATGGTTCCCTCTTTTGCCGGGGAGTGTCAATGTAGTTGAAGATTGAACGATCAATTCATGGTTGTTTGCTCAAAACCCAACTTCCCCAATTTTCGCGGAGGCATCAATACGACAGTCATCGTCTCATCGGTCGCTGTTCAGAAAGAAGTCAGTAGCAAACCGTCAGAAGTAATATTGTGATTTATTATTGTAATATTTGTTCACAGACCATAGTCATACGTCATTTATATGTTGGTGTAACAATAAAGAATCCTCGAGTCAACAATTGGTGTTTTGGTTTTTCGTCCGTTATTACTAAGCGTTTCTGAGAAACTTCAAGCGACAGCGTGAGCCCGAGCGTAGCAAGAGCTGGGCATTAACGGTTTATGAGACGTGTCTGACACATACTGTTATGTACATTACAAAGGGATCGAAGAATATGAGTGAAAGGATTAGGTTTCAGTCCCATTTAAGGCCTAGACTGTTAAGATATAGCAGAATGTGATATTGCTTTGATGAAAAATTACCGCTAGGTATATATCTTACGGTTTAATCAGGAGTGGCTTCAAAGATTTGAGAAATTGCGACCTGTGTGACATGCTGACCTATAGGTTGTCTCATGAATCTGTGTAGAGCCCACGGGGTCACATCTAGACAAGACTCAGAACAGATTTGTAGATGTCAGGGGCAGAAGCATTTTTTAAAATTTGACCTAAACAATCATTATTGTCTTCTTACCTCAAGGATCGAAGTTCATGTTTAATTCTCGAGCTGTCGCATGTATTTCGCTATGCTACAGATTGGAGCCATTTATATTTGTGACCTCAACCGTATCTGCCGATCTCCATACGTCACCTCTCCTCCTTTTTTGATGTTGAGCTCTGATTTTTCGAAATAACTGTAGTTATATTATCGCATTGCCTTGAGCCCATCCCTGCCCCACAGAATACCTTATGTAAGTAGCTTTCACAAAAAGTGCTACCTATTAGGTCACTAGATACAGATGGATGGGACATTCTTAGCAGTATTACCTTTATATAGCATACATGTGCGTAAACAGGTCATTACCAACTACTGGGAAATTAAGAGTTTCTTAAAAATTTATAAAGTATAGAAGTAGTTAGCATCACAGCAAACTAGGACGCAATCTATCTGGCAGAGTGAAGTGAGTATTGGAACAATTAGCGATAAAGTTATGCAGAATAATTCTGAGGGAGACAGGTGAATAGCAGAACTAGTTATGTCAAATTTTCATGATCGCTTTTTATATGGTGTGCATTAGATATTACATAGTGACTCCTCAATTTATATTATGGCGAAAAATACAAAATGGTTTAACATTATACATTTTAGAAGTACACATGAAAGTAGTTAACTGTTGACTGTAGGAAGCCATTTCTACACAAAATAGCGGTGTGTTATAGTAATTTTATACACATAAGTAAAATATTTATATATAATATATTTATATAATAATATTTATATAATATTTATATATAATATGCCATTACAATTATTTTTATAAATAGTTTCACTGCCCCCACTTATTGAAGATTACAGGGAAGAAAAAATCAGTGAAATGGTTGAACATTCGCCGCATAAGTAATAGAATTCAGATAGGTGTAAATTACTAAGTTGAAGGCTGAACTGTCTTTTGTTAACCACTCCAAAAATTATGATATTTTAGGTTTGCTGGAGTGGTTTTCTGGACTCCGTTTGAACTCACTGAACTCTCCAGGAGAACTAATTTGAGATGATAGTTGGTTCCGATGAGCGCAATATTTAATAGTGAAAAAGATTGCTCTAATGGCTTTTCTGTAGTTAGAATCCTTAAACAGGCAGCCATCACTGAGCAATTCATATGATTTAATTCTTTTCTTGTTAGATTGCAAGCTTTATATAAACTGTTTCTTAATAAATTCGAAGAGTAGAGATAACTTGCACTTCACACTCCTTAACCTTACCTGTCCGGATATGATTCCTGTACACCCGTCAGGATATTACATTTATTGGCCGCACCTTGCTTTGTGTTTTGTGGTGAGCCCCTTGATATTTTCAAATTTATTTCGGTCCTTTGACCTTAGGCTACTATATACGTCGGCACACTATTCAAGCTTCAGGCGAATACTTGTCTCATATATAGCCAATCTTGCTTTTTGAGTGTAAAACTTAGGCAGCACGAATCAAGTAAATCGTTTGCAGACAGATACTACATTGTTTGCATGATCGGGAAAGTTTAAATCTGAGTATGTTATGCCCATGATCTGTGACTGTGTTCAGGTTTTACGGGATGTACGTCTGTGGACACATGCTTGGTTTCCGGCATCTAAAGTGGGCTATACTGAGATTTTCAGTTGCTATTAATTCTCTGCAGTCGCTTTGAGTGTTTAAGTGTCGTTGGATTTGACTTTCATCCATCATGTAGTCGTACCTGATATCATATACTATCTCGAAGTCATCAGCGAAGAGCTATGGCTTGTCGTACTTGGTCACTGTGACTATATCATTTATATATAAGGGGAATAGAATAGGGTCAGGAACTTTACCTTATTTTACCCTGCTGGTCTTTGGCTTAGGTAAGGATAATTGGTAGTTGAACAGCAGTTCTCCTTCTGTGAGAAGAGAACTTACCTACTTAAGAAGCTTTCCAGCTATTCCATAGGGCTGGAGTTTCAGTCCGATATGTGTAGCTTTTCAAAGGCTTTGCTAACGTCGAAAAATAGTGCTGAAACGGGATGCCCACTAACTATGTATTTTGTAATATGGCTAAAATAATCTAATTGGGAAGTAATGGGGGATCTTTCACATGAGAAGCCATATTTGAGAGCAAATATGTCGTAAATCAAACGGCCTCTTAGATGCTAATCTCTAATCTTGCCTTCCTTGAAAAACGTGCCTGAGAGTTTATCAAAAACCGCCCTGCAAGATTCAGGGAAGGTGAGTCTGAGATTCAGCATTTCTTATAGAGACATCAACGTCGGAATCTAGTCAAGGTAACCAGTGTTATCTACCCCTTCGTGTAACTTTTCCAGGGAGAAGCTGGATTTGGAAAGAGCTATATGATGCTGGTATTATTACAGGCCGCTAGAAACTGACTTATTTCGCTAAATGCCAAACATCAGGTTCATTCATTGGAAATTGAATTCACACAACCCCAGGACCTTTTGAGTGCGCGAAATACAAATGGTGTGTTACGTGAGTTTATTCGGTATGTGGTGTTATCATATTCCGTACACAACAGGTTTAAAGCTGGACAAATCCTCATATATGTCAAACTCTTGTCCCATGATTAAAATTTATGCCTGGCCACTCTGTAAGCATAGAATAATTCCTGTTTTTTCATAGTCACGAGATAGCACATTCAACACATTATTTATTGGGCTGCATGCAGCTCATTATTATAAGGCATTATAATGCTTTATACCCCAATAGATGTTGGGTGTGCATCAGAGTTCTGCTATATCTTTTGTAACAAGAGTTTAATCTGTGTGTTATGAAAAATACCGGTTATCAACTTCGATGGAAATCGACACTGAAACATCTTGTAGTTACGCAACAGCTGTCATGTGAATAAGGTCAGTAACTTTGTGGCTTTCTAATAGATCACTTAGTCCTGTACCTCTAATTTTATTCGTCATCTACGAATAGAGGTTTTCCGCAGTTAAATATTGATGCCATAAGTCTAAAGTAGAATAGTGATAAGAAAACACACCCAACTTTGAACCTGAAAATTTGTTCGACTGGAGTTCAAAGCATTATTATACCGTTGATTTGCTCGAGAAGTCGGGTTAATGTTAGCATTAGAGTTTTGTGTCAAGTTAGTTTTGGGAATTGAATTGTGGATCATTAGGGTTAATTTCGGTCTACAGTTATGAATCCCTATCTCAAATTCACTGAAAATTGTTTACCATAATAAATGATACCATCTGCTTTGTTGAACTTCTCAGGGCAGAAATTACAAAGATTGAGGTAGGCTGCTTGTGAAACTCCATATTGCTGAAAACTAGTCTTTGATCATAGTTGTAGAACTTAACGAAACAGTGGATAACTGTAATCAGAATGGCAGCACAGGAGATAAAAATTCAACTTAATTCCTATGGATGTTGTGAGACATCGTTGAAGTGACTAATTTCGGGCACTCTGCTCATTATTCGCTTTAATCGAGTAATGTAAATATTGTGCATGGCATTCGATATCCAATTATCTCACTTAATTGGAGCTAATTTAGGTGGAATAGATCTTTAATGCATTAGGTTTCAGTCCACACATCTTATGTGAGCCCTAGTGATAATACTTAGTTGCTGGGACCGAATTAGGTAGTATGGAACCCCATTATGGGCCCTGTTGGCTGCAAGCTGAGTGCTAAAGTTAGTGAGTCACATCTCAACTGTTCAGTCATCACTTACCTCTGTATAAATAATAAAATTGTTACGTGACTACCAATACAATCTTTTGCTATTACTAATATGTGTAGTTGTATGGCTGATTATGTTATGCGTCCAAAGCCCGCTCTACCTATCGAGGTTTAGTCAACCGGACAGTACTGTCAGCCTTCATCCTATTGGTGTGGCTATCTGAGCAGTGCACTAATATACATGTGGTCTTTGAATAAGATGCCAGTATACGTTTGCTTGTCTTGTAACATTTTAACTGACAATGTGTGATGCGTTTTCACGATTTGTGAAACGTAAGATGATATTCAAGTGTCAAAAGTGAAGCATATACTAGTCTCACTGACTGAACTTCTAGACGAGAAATACGAGCTGAGTTGTTGACTAAAGTATACTATATGAGTACGAACTTTTTTATGACCATTAATTTGAAGTTTAGATTTTATCAATTTTCTTTGTGAACACTTCACATAGGGCTTAAACGATTTGGAATAAGAATGGTTAGGATATAGAATGATGACCACAATTAATTTTTTTGTAAGTACACATTGTTCTTTCTGTTGCATGTGGTAAGATATCTTTTATTGTAGCTCGTAACCGTTTGCGGAATTATGTATTTTGTAGTAAGTCTGTAATCGAAATCAGCAGACTGTGCGGTGGATGTTGATTAGTGCGACTCAGTAAAAAGTATAACATATACTTTGTTGTTTTATTTTATTGTTTCTTCTGTTATGCTTCACCTGTACTTTGTTAATTAATAACGTAGTGCTTTTTATTTCCTAAAGACTTCAGTAATTATATTTATGGCTCGACAAAGTAATTGAAAGTATTTTTTCTTGAAATATATTCATTTTAGATTGAGTTTTAAGAATGTCATCGAAACCAATTTGTGACCGTGTTAACACATATGCTAACAGAACTATTGGTATACCGGGATATGAAGGAATACCTCACAATTTACTGATCAATGTTGTTGGTTGGGTGGTATGTCGTGATTAAAATCCAATATGCGCATAGGTTTTAATGTTTGGATTTTCATTGCTAAGGAAACTTGCATGGGACTATGGACGTATGGCTATGGTTCAACCGAAGAAGAATAGGTGCGTTCAAAGTGTATGGTTTCATTATTTTCTTTATCATTAAGCATCATAATTAAACGGCAAGAATTCAGGATAGAAGTTGTTTTGAAATTACACTGCAGTAGCTGTGCTGTTTCTAGTGTTTCGCTGACTGAATTTAACAGTAAACACTATCCTGACTGTTTTCTGCATTCGCTTACTTCACATAAAACCAAATGATTAACACCATATGACCACCATATTTGTCTAGCTAGAAACCTAAAAACCTTTCTTCCTATTTACCTGAGACATGCTCTGGATAATTAGATTTCTGTAACTGCTATGAAGGCGTAATCAAATTAAAAACAAGAATTCATGTGTTTACCTGTATGTACTTAAAGATAAATTACAATTTCTGTAGCAGGGTGTATGCAAGTAGTACATTCTTGTCTGTAACAACGACATATTCTGTTAAATTGAGGACATTAACACTATTCAGAGTCCTCTCAAATGTATGGTAATACTACAGGACTGGTCTGCACCGCTCCTAGCTTAAGGGTAGAGGGTAAAGCATTTAGGTGTATTGATCACTTCATTTATTTTGTAAGTCATTTTGATCCCGATTAGCTGATTGCTGACTGTAGCAAAGGTTAATTTGCAACAAACACAGCGAAATGCTTATTGATAAGAGGTGAATACAGACATAAAAAGCGTGTTTAGCATTTGCCAAATTGCGTCATTTTTGGCGTAGATGTAGTCTATGACTACTTATTGAATTGTATGTATGTACGGCAGTTCTCTCTGTCCTGACTGGCGGTCGTCGAGATGCTAAGCATGAGTAATTATAGGCTATAAGTGACATGGATGAAGATCGTTTGTAATGATGCGGACGTATGCAGTCCTTGTCATTATTCTGGTTCTGATGAGTAACACTAATCTTTTTTTCTTTATTCCCTCTCATGCACTTCCTCATCCACTTTAGGTTTCTTATTTTCTACTTTTATGTTTACTTTCCACAAGGGTGACAATGTTAACTAACGTACTTTCATGTGACCTTATAGGTTGTCAAGTCAGTCTTTTTTTTGAAGCGACGTTCTAGAGTTAGTTGGCGGCTCATTGTATAAATTAACATGTAAGTATTTTGTCGTCTTGGTGAGGCTTCGAGCTAAGCACTTTTGCTTTCATAAACGACCTGGTACGCCCGAGGGTGGGTCTGTCTGGATTCAACATAGAACTTGGCACCGAAGTGCACCAGTTCGAGTTGCCACGTTCCAAATAGCGCACAAAGGTAGACAAGAAGATGAGTGAAGAGAATCGATAGAGTTTGACAAGTATAAGAGTGAAACAGAATAGGTAGTGGTAGAAAGGAATACGAAAGATGACAGAGACTGAATACATCTGCTCCATTGACAACGATTTTGAGCCATGTCACCTATTGTCTCCAGCCATTGATTCTTAGAGTCCCGAGGGCTCCAACCCGGAAGTCTGCATCTCTCTACCTGACTCAGTTTAACTGTCAAGGATTTCATGGATTGATGAGGCCATGTTTTTGTTTGGCGACCACTTACTCTTTTCCAACCTGCACCTATGTCAGCTAGTAATGCCCGTCGGGGGACGCGACGGTTAGGCATGTGCAGCACGTGACCGACCTAGCCATCTCAATCTATGTAACTTTATAGCCTCGTCGATTGATTTTCCCTGTTTGCCCAACACTCTACGCCTAACCTCAACAGTACTTACCCTACTATACTACCTAACGTGAGAAAGAGGTCGTAGACATCTATGATGAAAAACAGTCAACCCTTTCATGTCTTCAACTCGTATTGGCCATGTTTCAGAGCCATAGAGAAGGATGGAACGAACTGCTGAGCAGTACACACGTCCCTTGGTTGATAGCCAGATGTCACGCCTACACCAGAGATGGCGTAAGTTAGCAAAAGCAGCTCGAGCTTTTTGGATCCGTGCTGAGATTTCATCGCCAATCAGTCCGTTGGTGCTAATACAACTTCCCAAATAGGTGAAGTGGTCAACGTGTTCCATGACTTCACTTCCTATCACTGAGCTAGGAGTTGACTTAGTCCAGTCCTGTAGTAGTATCTTACATTTTACAGGGGCGAATCGCATGCCAAACATACGAAGATTGCTGCTCAAGGTGTTCAGAAGACTGCATTTCGTCAGCATCCTCCCCTAACAGGACTGTGTCATCTGCATATTCTAAGTCCATAAGACTATTCCCTGGTAACAAGTCGATTCCTGAGTCGTTGAGTTCAGTTAAGGATACCTCCACGAGGGTTGGTAGACTTTCGGTCTTCCTCCTCTAAATGCGCCGACGGGGGGGGGAACGGCGAATTCGAAAATCTGGCATTTAAAATCGGATTGGTGGACGTGAGTGTTTAACATTTAAACCGACTCAATTCAGATGACATCGAACTACAAAATAACACGTATTCATTTTCCCATGTATTACTATTGGATAAAAGTATATGTGTATACACAAAATACGTTAACACATTAACGTAAAATTCTTGTGAAATGTGTATATTTAAGCGAGTTTTTTTTAATAGTAATGGAATCAGGTGATCCTTACATGTATTTCTGAGTGGTATCATGTAACCAGCAATTTCTCTTGTTAGCTTATCTTAACAGATGTTAAATCAAGTAATCTGGTTAGCAGTAGAACTTTTTGTATACTTTTCTGTGTGTATTTATTATTTCAACTGTTGTTATTTATAATCGCATTAAAAATATCAATAATAATAATAATAGTAATCATAAAATAATTATTGGCAATTGAAATTGTTACACTTGCAGATGGACCACACTATTTTATGCAGATGTACAGAGACGTGTTAGTGAAGCTGGTTCAGTTGAAAGTTTAGAACAAAATCTACCCGTGAATAATGATCCTGTAAGTATTTTTGTTTTCATTTTGTAATTCTACAACATTACCTTATTCCGTATTCATTCTTGTCTTATACACAAAAAAAACTTTGTACATACATAGCGCTAATATTCATTTCTATCTGTTTTAGGGTTATTTCTCATGGATAATCAGTTACTTTAAACTGACGTAAGTTGTTTTCTCTCTCTTTTTTTATGGATAACTTCGTACTCATGTGTTTATCATGCTCAATGTGTGAAACACGTGTTGACTTTTGCTTTCACATTAATTATAATGCAAATATTTACGATTACTTTTTATGACTATGCCTTTGTGTTGTGGTGGATTAATTCAATCCTTTTTGTGATCAAGTAGATAGATTTGACCAAAGTAATACGAAGTCTATCCGTTGATTAATGTGTCGACTGTTCGTACAGGTCGTGTAGAGAGAGAGAGAGAGAGAGCGATATTAGTTGCCTGATTAAACGAATCTCTGGTTGAAAGCTCTCAAATTTTATGAATCATTGTCTAGCCCACTGAAGTACACATGATGCTTTTCACGCCTTACTAACAACATGCTAATTTAAACAGCATGTTTCTTTATTTAATACATCGTTTCTTTATTTTGTCGTATGACGTTGTAAGGACTTTTAGTTGCATTGTTTTCATTCCATTGGCTTTATTGGTATTACTGTATACATGATATGATGACGTAAGGTGTCTTACCTTTGACTGACATCGCCTGCCTGTTATATATATATATATATATATATATATATATATATATATAAGTCTCAAATAATGCTTTTTCGAATTGACGTATACGTATTGTCATGATGAATAACGAAACATTTGTCCTAGAATAAATTTGCACCAAGATAACATTTGAAGTGTTACTTTCATTATTCATTCGCCTCATTTAACTAATCTATCACTGTTGCACTGTAAAATTCTGGTGTTTTCGGTGTATGAATAAAGTATTTTTTTATATAACAGTGATATTAATAATAAAACCTTTACTATTGTCCTCACACATGTTAAGCATATCTGCCATGATTCTAGCATTTCACCAATACAAACTTAGCTTGGATTCTCCAGTGTCTTGTGGAGAAGTTTTCCAGCCCATTGATTATTTCTCTGTCACATGTACAGCAAACACATACTAGTTCATCTTGACTTGCACTCTTTCACTCCAACTTTCCTCCGACCATGGCTAACTAATTTTTTAATCAAAATGTTTATGTATTTTAGGAAACACTTTGTACTTTAAAGGCATTAAGTTTAAATTTAGTGACACGTGGGGAGTCAGTCAGTGTATGATATGTGTTATGTGCAAGTAATTTTAGCAATCATCAGTGAGGTATTAACACAACGCCTAAGGGATACGCTAAAAAGAGCATTCGGTGCTGCTGAATTATGCTTTGTCTTCAAAACACCCCCTTATTTTGCGTTTGGCAGTGAAAGGTAAACTGCCTAATTTCGCCTCTTCTATGTATATCTACCAATTTGACTACTCCTGTAGAGCCATTGACATAGGCTGTATAATTAGGCATGTTTGTCGTCGGATTTCCGAACACCATCTTGTGGATACAAAACACAAGATTGATGTTAACTAGGCTTTCAAAGTCATCTACCGAATACCAATACTAATCCTTACCTTGGCATTCTGGGTTCTGATGATCCTCAATTTTTTGTAGAAATTTCCTTAATTCTAGTTGATATTCTATTTGCTATTATATTTTTATTATCATTATTATAATTTAAGCATCTTTAATGAACTGTAATTCCATTGATCTTACTTAACAAATCGATAGTATTTAAAAACACCAATATTGTTAATGACGACTATTTTAGAATATTCTACGTATATAAACATATATATATATATATATATATATATATATATATATATATATATATATATATATATATATATAATTGTAGAGCCAGAAGAGGAAATTGTCGAAAAGGATAATTTTAAGTATTGATTTTGTAGGGATTTTGTTTGATTGTTTGGAGGATTTCATCATGAGCTGACATCAGTCAGAGAACCATTGGAAAACGACCACGGAGTACTGGAAAGCTATTCCGTCCCAGTTTGGAATTTTTCAGAAGTACGCACCCACGGGGGTTTGAACCCAGGACCCTTTGGTTACAAGGCGAGCTCGTAGATCATTAAGCCACTGAGACCCGATCCAGCCGCCCATAAAAACGTTAGTGATACTCTCTCAGGTCATTTACAGATGAATTATTAGATAAGTTGGAATTAGAATCAATCACCCAGCCTTTTGAATGTCTTGCATCTGAGTCAGTCAGTTGGTACAACTGATAAGGTAATTACTACAGCCAAGAGATTAGGATAAATTTGTATATGGGTGGTACACACTTTTAAACAATCTTTTACGTCCAGTTAACAAACTGTATCATGTATAGGCGCCAAATAACTATATTTCATTATAGTTTCATATTATATCATACATATTAAATTTATTTCATTTTTCATACAATATGTGGTAATTCATGAATAATCCTCATCCAGGCATTAGAGAAAATAAAACACATAGTTCAATGGAGAGTCTCTTTCCAGCGAATTTACTTTCCTCTTTGACTGTACAATCGAATTTATATACAATTTCTTCATGAAAGAGGGTAGTAATTAGAGGTGATGAGTTATCACAAACATGACTGTTAGTACTGGTCAGTACATAGAAGAAGTTGAATAAGTGCGACAGAGTTACGTAATAAGATGAATAATTTAATGAATTGTGGTCAAGGTGCACATAGATACGAAGGAAAATATGGAGTTAAGTAAGAGTTCTAAACAAGCAAAAAAAATAAAGTCGGTAAAAATCGACAATGTTGTTACTATGACAGTAGGAGCGGTTCAGTAATTTTCTTCCTTATGCTTAGCTCCGATTTCTCCATCTGAATGGATAAGGCTTCAGCACTGCAAAGGAGACGAAAGCGTATTACCTTTGATAGGTTGTTCTTCATTTTATAGATTACTCTGAAGGAGGTGTTTGCTGAGATCTGATGACCAGTGTTGAGGTGTTAGATTGTTGCACTCCTTATAGAGCTACTGCTACCTTTCTACAACCATACCGGGTAGTGTTTTTGAAAGCTTTTAGACAGGACACACGTCGGAACGACCAGTGTACCTGGCTCCACAGCAACAGGTGAACCGATATTTGCACATAGGCTTTCGTAGACCAAAGGACGACCTGGAAACACTACTCTTTGTGTTGCTGATAAGAGTCTTCTCTTGAGAGATGGTGAAATTCTTCTCCTGAGGGTATCGCAGGTTAATTCTGCCTTGAGATCCAGGTTCGTGTAAGGTTTTTTTTATAACAAGTAATATTTTGCTCTTCTGAGCTTTTGTTTAGCTATTCTTGTTTATAAATCTTGATGGTTATTCACTCTGGATGGTTTCTTTCGGAAGATCTAGTTGTTATGTAACTCTAATACACGTATCCAACGTTCAGGGTTCGATCCCCTGCCGACGCACACCTCATATCTATGGTTGGCCTGCAAAATTTGGGCTACTGATATCACATGCTGAAAATTCCATACCTGTTCCAAAAATGCAGTATGGAATCAAGCTGTAATCAACAAAAAAAATAAAATAAAAATAAATATTGACAATCATAAGATAAATGGAAAACTCAGTGATCACCGAAAATTTCAAAAAAATTCTTCTTCCATTGATCTGATTGAAAAAGTTGAGGAACAACTAATTGAGTCACTAAAAAGACTTAAACAACAAGATAGCATCACACAAGGTTTATCTGGACTACTCAAGCCTATGGGTATGGCCACGCCAAGATTATGTGGGCTACCAAAATCCTCCTTGTTCACTAATGTACTGTTAATGGAAACAGTGGATTTTATATGTGATGAGATTACTAAGCGAAATATAGACATCGGCATTTCTGTATCCCCTTCTGAAGGAACTTATTTTAGGATGCACAACGAATGTTCATTTCTTATTCTATAAGAAATGCAAACTGATGGTTTGGCTATAGGCTCTTCATTAGGTTCAATCCTAGCTGATTTTTTCCTCGCTAAGTTAGAGAATAGACCGCTGAAAGGAGTTATTAGTGAGTTGAAATTCTACTGTCGATGTATGGATGATACGTTTGTGGTTATGCAAAACGAGAATGAAGCAATGAACATCCTCGACAAGTCCGATGGTGCGCGATCAGCAATAAACTTCACCATGGAGAGAGAAAGTAATTATAGTATTGCATTCCTAGGCGTCTTCGTAAGCCAGGAAAGGTGGTACACCAAGAATGTGTGTGTACAGGAAACCTACAACATCAGGTCAATACACTCATTTCTTGAATTTCGTACCTCTGAAGTATACAAGTAACTTTGTGAAGTGTTTGATTCGTTGAGCTAGGATAATCTGTCCAAACAATTACCTCAATGAGGAGCTTAAGATTATTCGAGAATTACTTAGAAAAAATGGTTATCCATATAAGTTCATTGAAAAAAATGAATTCAGCACCTAGGAGGGTCAGTATGGCAACAGTTCCGAAAAAACCACTGTTCATAAAACTGCAGCTCCCTGGTGACAGCATCAGCGGAATAATAACACAGTACCTGAAGAATACTATCAAAAGAGCTTTCAATGCAGTAGAGGTACATTGTTTCTTCACTACCACCCCTATTCCACGTTCGGGAAATAAGGATAAGCTACCTACATTTGCCTCTTCTATGTGTGTATCTACCAGTTTAACTGCAACCACACAGCCACCTACATTGAGTTTACAATTAAGCAGGTTCATCATTGTATTTCCAAACATCATCCTGAATGGTTAAGCAAGGGATTAATTCGTAGCTCTATTTTGGCACACCCTTTTGATAGTGAGCGTAAATTCGGCATTAATACAGCATTTAAAGTTATTTATCACCTTCGTACTGGTCTCAATTTTGCTTTACGAGTTCGTTTTCTACAGACAGCTGTAGCCATAAGAATCTACCTGAAGAAACCAAATCTGTATGTCCAGAAGAAATTTGTACAGCTACCTTTTCTTACCTTAGCCATCGTTACATGAATGTATAAACCGGACTAACTCTTTACCCCCTCCCTCTAAGCCTTTAAAAATGATAATTGTCCAGTTTATTTTATTATTCTTATGACTACTTCATCTTTAATTATAAGCTACCGTTGTCCAAATCGCTTTATT